CTCCTGGACCGCTCCCCCCCACCATCGCGTTTCTCGTGAAGTCTTTGTGCAGTTCGCTCATCACATCCCACAGGTCATCATACCAACACAGCTCCATGGCCTGGTGGTGGTGGGGGCACCGCGTCACTCGGTTTCCAACACGCGGAACAGGCTGGGACGGCTGGCTTATCGCTGTGCCGATCCGGCTCGTTGTGATCAGCCGTGCTGTTGGCTCCAAACGCGCCTCTTGGCGCAGCGATGCAACCGGTACAGAATGGCATTGTACACACGCGCGTCATGCTTCCGAAGGTTGACTTGGTTGACTGCAGAGGTGTGTATGCGTGGTGCCTGCCGCTTGGTGGAGTGCTCACCACGAGCGCGTCCTCCAACCGCTTGACCCCGCTGACAGATATCGCCTCCCCATTACGCGTGGCCCCGCAGTTGCGCGCCGCGCTGTAGACGCGCTGCGGGGCAAGGCGGGCAGGCAGCCGCAGGAGCGACGGCGTGCGGGCGAGCAGATGCAAAACGCAATCAGCTGCAGACTTTGAGCAACGTCGAGGACTGCAACGTTCCCCGCGGATGGGCCAGCCCCGTCTGCGCCCGCCAGGGCCGACGCGCGGGGGGCCCTCAGCCCTGACCCCTTGCTGACCCCGCGCCGCGCGCGTCTGCGTGCCGACGCACCTGGCTCCACGCGCCGGGCCCGCCCGCAAACTCGATTACGCAGCCCGCCACCGGCGTGCTGTGGCGTAGGACGCCGATGCTGCAGCAGAAGCCTGAGAGAATGGGTTTGCCGAGCCGCCGCCGCGAGCGATGGCAAGTTTTGGGGGTCGAGAAAGCCAGCAGGCGAGAGGCGAGTGTTATGGATAAGAAGTTCCTGTGCAAAAACAACGCACGGCGCTTTTTCCCCGGCGGCGCGAATGGCAAGCAGAGGAGTGACTTGTTATTGAGAGCGTTGTGAATGTGTGAGGGGTAAGGCCTGTGTGCCGCGCGGCGGCCCGTGAGGGTGGCAGGGGAGGGAGCGCAGCGCACTGGAGCCTAGCAGGGGGGGGGTCCTTCATGCGAGGCGCGAAAATCACCTGGGTAGCTGTGGGCAAAGTTGCAGGTGCCATCCAGGGGGTCTATGCACCTGGGCGCCGACAGAGAGGGAGGGGGGTTGGGCTGGGTGGAGTGGCCGCTGTCATCAAGAGCGCCTCATTTATGGCTGCGGACGTGACCCCAGGACACAGCACTGCGTTCATCAAATACAGGTTGAACGCCACTCAGAGTTGGCCGAACTGGATGCCCCTGCCCGCAACACTGGACGGCAAAAAAGGCACGCAACTCAGAGGTGATTCTCTACTCGGGGCTCCCATCCATGCATGATCAACATGCCGCCCTGACGCCCCATGCCATCCACGCATCATCAATGTGTCACCCTGACACCCAGCGCCCCAATCACCAGAGGTACTCCGACCGCACACTGCCGGTGATGACGCCCCCCTCCTCCCCTAGGATGGCGTGATCTGGGAACGCCGCCGAGATCACCGCCACCGCCGCAACCTCGGCCGCCTTGTCAGTGTCGGTCACGATGTCGCCGATGGATCCCTTGGACTGGATGTTGCGGGGCCGGTCGAGGGCGTCGGTGATCACCTAGGAGGGAGCCGGGGGTTGGTGGTGCGGGCACACGATTGTGTGTGTGGCTGCGTTCACGCATGTGCAGGTGCGGGTGTTGTGATGTGTGAACACGCGAGCCGATGGCGTGTGGAACAGCATGCTATGGCTGATGCTGGCTTCCTGCAAACGAGCCACATTCGAGGCTGCTGCTGCTGCTGCTGCTGCTGCTGCTGCTGCTGCTGCTGCTGCTGCTGCTGCTGCTGCTGCTGCTCTGCCGCTGCCTGTGGTGCTACCATGTTCAGGTCTGCGGCGGCGCACGGCGTGTAGCAATCACCTTGGCACCTGCTGCTGCTGCCTCCTCCGCCACCTGGAGGGTTGGCAGGCCGGCGCTGGTGGGTGCGCGCCAGCAGTCGATTGCATGGCAAAAACAGCAACGGCGGACAGGTAGCACGGATAGTTGGGACAGACCTGTGCACCTGGTCGAAGTCGCCAAATGTGCCCACCTTGCGGAGATCCCTTGGGTTTATCTTGGGTGCCCCGCTGGCTCGCACTTGAACAGCTGTGGCGCGGCGCGGCGCGCTGCCAGCAGGACGGCCTGTGAGCTGTCGCTGCCGCACCAACATCCTTGATTTGTTTGCAGCAGCAAGTACAGCGTCAAATCTACAAGGTTTCAGCGGGCATCGACAGCACCAGAGCGAAATAGAGAGTGGATCTGCCGAAAGTAGATCGCTGCAGTCTCAACTTGGCTTCAACCTCACATTGTGATCCCACATCTTCTGTACACATGGTGTCGTTACAATTGCAGGGCGACGATAATTGCCGCTGATGAGTCAATCGACGGCATACCGGTACCGTTCGCTGCAAACGGTATTGCGGTGTGAAGCCCTCATGGGATGGGATACAAAGTTTGGTCGCGTGCTTCTCGACAGAGCGCTTGTGATTGAAACATGTTTGCTGACTGCAGCTGCCACATGTTGACCACCGACCCCTGGATAGAAAGGATGCCTGATCCTGGCAGCATCCAACGCAGAAACGCTGCATCGTAAGCAGCTGACGCTTTGGCTGCACCTCAGTCAATCCCTGCACTCCCCATGTCAGGAAAAGAAGTTTGATGTAGCACTCTACTCATGTACTTATGTCCTCACCTATCGATGGCGGGCTGCGCGCGACAAAGGGCTCACGAGCAAGGCGGCGAATCCAGCGCCATGCGTACGCCGGCGCAACCGGCCATGGCACTGCATGCACATGGACGGCAGGTGCAGGCGCGTCAGGAGCGATAGACAGATGGTTGTTACCCATCTGTCGTCCAAAGCTTCACAAAGCCCATACTGGAAGGGGCCATTAAAACCCACAGCCACCGTCCCCAAGGACATGAATGCACTCGTATATGGACCCCCAGAGCAATGTAGAAAGACACAAAAACAAATAGGCTGTGCAAACTGCTCAACGGATCCTAAAAAAGGACGAAAAGTGAAAAGTGGATGCGCCTGGGCCAAGCCAAGGGCCAGTAACGTCAAAGGTGCCGCGCAAAGCTCCGCAAGCTCGCTCGGCGCCGAGCGCCAGCCTCAATGGGCGTGTCTACAGCTGATCTGGATGCACGCAGCTAAAGCAACGGTTGCATGAGCCTGACAATGCACGCGCAGTCTGGCTAGTGTACTGTATACAGTAGCAGATCAGGCGCCAGGCCTGATCCTGGCTTGACGCCGACCCAGGCGAGGGTAAAGCACTGTGGAGCATGACGTCCCCCCACAGTGGCACCAAGCCAGCCTACCCCAGCCACGCCTACCTTTCGCCCTCCGCCCCGCTGCCTCGTGCCCTGCCCCCGCCGCCATCCGCCCCGCCCCCGTCCACACCGCCGCGGCCGTCGCCGCCGCCGTTGCCGTCGCCGTCCCCGCCGCGCCGCCCGAGCAGCTCCCTCTGCCGCTCTATCTGGCGCTTCACGTGACTGATGTACGACTCAAAGTGCTGCTGCCCCGCCTGCGCCCACGCCAGCAGCTCCTGCAGCTGCTGCTCCCGCTGCGCGCGCCGCTCCGCGCGCAGCGCCTCTTCGGCTGCCGCGGCACTCGCCTGCACGGCCTCCTGCGCGCGGCGCTGCTGCTCCAGGAAAAGCGGGCGCTCGACGTCCAGCGCGCTCCTGAAGACCCAGATCCCCTGCAGCGCCAGCTGCGGGTCAAACAGGTCAACCTCCACCCCCTCCATCACGAACGGCGCCGGCG